GACCCAGGCAACCGGGACCCCCCAGGTGACCCAGGCATCCAGGTCCCCCCAGGGGACCCAGACACCTGGGCCCACCCCGCCCCGCTCAGCACTTACCTCCCAGTAAGACCAGTGCGACCCCTACCAGTAACTTCATGGCCGTCCCCATCATGGCTGTAAAACAAGGGGGGAGCAGGGCATTGGGGGGGGTCCCGGGTGCCTGGGTCCCCCCGGATGCTTTGGTCCCTCCCGGACACCTGGGTCCCCTTCCATGGACGAGGTGTCCTTGGACACCCGGGTCCCACCTGGACGCCCAGGTCCCCCTTCCATGGAGGGTGTTCCCTGGATGCCTGGGTCCCCCTGGGACACCCGGGTCCCACCTGGATGCCTGGGTCCCCCCAGACTCCTGGGTCCCTCCTGGACACCTGGGTCCCACCTGGAGATCCAGGTCCCCCTTCCATGGAGGGTGTTCCCTGGATGCCTGGGTCCCCCTGGGACACCCGGGTCCCACCTGGATGCCTGGGTCCCCCCAGACTCCTGGGTCCCTCCTGGATGCCCAGGTCCCCCCTGGATGCCCAGGTCCCCCTTCCATGGAGGGTCTCCCCAAATGCCTGGGTCCCCCTGGATGCTTGGGTGCCCCCAGACTCCTGGGTCCCACCTGGGCACCTGGGTCCCACCTGGACACCCAGGTCCCCTTTCATGGAGGGTGTTCCCTGGATGCCTGGGTCCCTCCTGGACACCTGGGTCCCACCTGGACACCCAGGTCCCCCTTCCATGGAGGGTCTCCCCAAATGCCTGGGTCCCCCCGGACGCTTGGGTCCCCCCAGACTCCTGGGTCCCTCCTGGGCACCTGGGTCCCACCTGGAGATCCAGGTCCCCTTCATGGAGGGTGTTCCCTGGATGCCTGGGTCCCCCTGGGACACCTGAGTCCCACCTGGATGCCCAGGTCCCCTTCACGGAGGGACCCCCCGGGACACCTGGGTCCCACCTGGACACCCACGACCCCCAGGTCCTCCATCATGGAGGGTCTTCCCGAACTCCTGGGTCCCCCCCAATGCCTGGATGCCCCCGTGCCTGCATCCCCCCGGATGCCTGGGTCCCGCACCCCAGGGGAGCGTTACCGCGCAGCGTCTCCGCAGCAGCAGGTGACCCAGTGGGTGCCTGGCAGGGCTGGGAGCACCCATGGGTGCTGCCACCAAGGGTGATTGCATCACAGCCCCGGCTGGGTGCCAGTGTCCCCCGCGGCTGGGAACCGAGATACTGGGGCTGATTGTCACCGGCCCCCACCGGCCCCGGGGCACCCAGGCCTCGGGGGGAGGACCCAGGCATCTGGGGGGGACCCAGGGGTCTAGGGGGGACCCAGGCATCTGG